TCTATGGGCAGCGGTCGCTTTCTATTCCGGTGGATTCAGGTGGCCGCTTGCTCGTTTGCCACCTCATGTTATAAAAAAAAATCTATACCATTTGGGAATTTATCATGGTCTATGAGTAATTTTCAACTATGGTGAAGATAGAGCGAGAGATAAGACTTCAACCTTCTAAAACACAAAAACTGTATGCATATACAAAATCCCTTATCCCTTGCGGGAGGGTCGGCACAGTATGTGCTCTTCCATACATGTCTATCAGCCGTCATATCTGAATCCACTCCTTTCTTAAGCATATCCTTTTTCACACAATTCATCCATACTTTCTTCGGTCGTTCCTCTTCCTTTGTAGCCATCCACATACATTCTTAACACTTTCTGGTTTATGTCCCCATCGTCACGTCGCATATGTCCATGCCAAGCTAACCTTTTGCTTCTCAATTTCTCCATGCATATACAAAATGAAGAAGAAAAAAAAATCAACTATAAACTTTAATACTTATGGTTCTTTAGAAGAAAAGTTTTTTAATCAAGAAAATGAACAGAATTCCATTGTAACAATCCTAAAATACTCAAACTATTTGGATAAATCTAAACTGAATATCATAGAATCGTCCGTTTCATTAACACATATTACTAATATTATAAATGTGAAAGTTTGAATGGATGTTGGTCAGTTTGTGGTCTATACTACTAAACGGATTTCTATGAAATTTGGCACAGATGTGGAGGATAATCTGGAAAAATAGGCATATTTACTTTCGTTTCTTTTCAATTTCGTGGACGAAAGCTAGTCATACTATAAGTGTAGAAATAAAAGAAACATTAAAATGAAAAGCGTGATTATTTTGAAATGTTTATTAGTTGAATTTCCACCAAACACTCAGAATGGAGAAAAAGATGCGACCGATACAATGATTTTTTTAAGTTTTTTTTTTTATTTTCTCATTTAAAATTACATATTTCGGTTACCGATAATAACTAATGACGTACGAAGTTCATTATTTAAATTATTCAATATGTAAACACTAACATCATTTTATAAGTACACAGGAAACAAAACAAATTATTTGATGTATATTTTCATAATAAATCGATAAGCAACTAAGCTACAAGTATACATTTTGTTTATATTTTAAGAAATCAATTTAACATTAATTTCAGAATACTTCTCAAATTAAATTAAAAAATTCTATATGAATCATCTCAATTATTTTGTTTTGAAAATTAAAGTATCTGATTTTTAGGAAAGCATTAAGAAATCTTCACAATTATTATGAAAAAATAATAGCAATAGTAACATTTTCATAGCACACCCCTTGTTTAGCACCACTCAGTGTTAACATTCATCTTATCTTTATGACATCCCTTAGCGATCCATTATCTAACAAAATTATATTTAAAATAATATATTTAGAAAATCAACTATTTTTTTACATTTAGTTATGAGAAATTTTCAAGAATGCAATATTAATTAAACAAAATTGTTTCAAATCAATATATATGTTATTATTCCAATGAAACAATAACTAGCAGAGTGAAGGTCACAAAAATACAACATTCAATAATTTCAATAATGATTTATTTTTCGGAGCTATTGATGTTCACTAAGCTGATACAATTCTTACTTTTATAACATTTTTAATATTCCTAATAATATGCATTAATTAGAGATCTAGCTATAAAATATAATAGTAAAAGTTTCGGGTCTGTTCGCGAGGCGCGGTGCGCCGCTAACTAAATACCAAGCCTTGAAAAAAACAATCGAAACATTCTCGAAACTCATTCATTCTTCGTCACCGATGCATTCTATTTGACAAAACAAAATATAACGCGCAAAATAACTCGTACATGTCTCTTCAAGTATGCAAAGTAACAAATAGTCTAGGAGCTAAGCTACCACTGATTCCGCAAGGTAAAGAATGCATCGACGACGAGTCGTTCGTAACATCAGACACCTCCCTGTTTAGTTCCGCCCAAACAACTACATAAAGCGTAAATTCACATAAACAAAATATATTTCATTGTGCTCACACCAATCAATACACAGATTAAACACATACTATATTATATTATTATGCTCCTAAAAATAATATCTCATTCGTACAGATGGATACATAAAAAAAATATATAGACATATATGTAATACGATATTTATTAAAACATTTAAAAGGTTCCTTTTAAAAGTTAATTTATTGTGCTGGTGCCAGTACACTGATAGTATCTATGGATAGAAGAGGCTGGCTGAGAAAGCGAGGATGGCGGCATGTCCGCTTCATTCAATGGATGACTTAAAATTAATTGACTTATAACCTCAACTTGACTTGAAGTAGAACTGAGGAGCCGACGCGGCGGCGCGCTTAGACTAGGCGGCGATGAAGTCACGCACTCACCTCACACTAACTCAAACACCGGAGGAAAACATCTAATTCAGAATATCATTATATTAATACAGAAAATTTTATTTTAAAATTCCTTCGACAAAAGGTTAAAGAAAGTCACACCGTTATCGGATATAGGAACGAAATAATATCAGTACATCAGTATACGTCGAAACGACTAGAAATTTATAAACAACGCGTTAACGGAGCGAAACATCCACGCGACCAACACAAAGGTAACAACAGAGATTCAATAACCATCGACTGATCGCTCGCCGAGACCAGTCTAAATAACATCCATCGCGACTCTCTCGGGACGATAGGCAACAAGCAGACCTCAACTAAAACAAAGGTAAATAGATTGTTCATTTGGTAATAATAAATAGTTCTAATAAATCATTTTATATGGATTAAGCTCTCTATCGATTTAGGCTCGTAGTAAGTCTAGAAGGACACAGATGACTCCTGTGTGGGCGAGGGCCGCGGCGTCCGTCCAAAGCCGCGC